CTAATTCTAATTATTATTGTTATTAAAGTTAGATTATAATCATTCCCATTTCTTGGGCGCGATAATTTGCCAGGCATCTCATTTACAATCTTACAGTCCTCACCGTCAGAGGAGTCTGGTTAGCACTTACTTTGCAGAGAAAACTGGAGCTCGGAGAGGTGAAACGTCTCACCAAGACTGTGAGGAGTCCGGACTGAGCTGGGCTTGCTGATCTGTGCAATGTCATCACGGAGCCACTGCCCTGGGCTCAGTATTTCATCGGCGACATCAGGGTGGCGAGGGCAAGGGCAGGCACTCAGAGGAAGCGAGGGCTGCCCCAGAGCCCTACTGCCACGTTGGGAGGAAGCTCTCGGCACCCTCCTGGGCTGGCCAGGCCGCTGAGCTGGCCCTGGCTGGCTGCCCTGAGAGGAGGCCCAGGCACGCCTCTACCGGCTCATCCCGAAGTTCTGCATTCTTGGTCCCTCCCTCATGTTGGCTTCTGGCTTCCCTGAGCCGGCTGTGGGCTCTCAGCCTAGCGTGGTTTCTGCAGCCCTGCCCTTCGGCTGAGGACTTTGCCCCACTGTCATCTGATCCTTGGTGCCTGCTGTGACCTCTTGGGCAAGGGTCTCACCAAGATCATCTTGCAAAGCCCACATCTCTACCCCTGTCTTCCCATTTTACAGTTATGGAAACTGAGGCCCAGAGAGGGAAAGGGACATGTCCACAGTCACACAGAGTGTGAGTGGGGGGAGCTGGGACTGGGGCAAAGGACTTCCAGGGCCCTGCCTCCTCCCCCAGGCCACGTGGAGGGAAAGTTTGTGAGTGGGCAGAGAAAGGCTTTGCATTCGGGAAGCTCCGAGCCGCCATGAGGGTTTCGGCCACCTGACTCGCTGGGGGGACGGATTTCCTCCACAGGTTGGTCTCAAAGGCCCCTGGCCATCCTCTCTACAGGGGAGGAACTAGAGGCCACTCACCAGCTGGGCAGTCTTGGTGACTCACTTGTCCTGTTTGAATCTCAGGTGGGAAGAGTCCAGAAGCAGCACATATTAACATTGATCAAACTGACATTGATTGAGGACTTCCTGTTCCACGCACCTTTCTAGGAACTGGCCACAGTAGGGGCTGGGTAAATATTCGCAGAGTGAATTGGCTCTCAAATTACCCTGCCCCGGGTAGTTTCTGGTAGCTTCACAGGAAGATGGGGAAGTTGAGCTTCAGCCAGGTCCGCGAGTTCCCCAGGGTGACTTCATTTATAAACCTAGGGTTCAAATTCAGACCGTCTGACGCTAGAGCCAAATTCTTGACTTCTAAATTTACAGATCTGGTTAACCATTGCTTACCGGCATATAATAACCACAATTTTATGCTGCTCGGGGATTCCATGGGTCAGGAATTGGGACTGGTCTCTGCTCCGTGGTGTCTAGGGCCTCTGCTGGGAAGACTGAACGGTGGGGGGGTGATTCATGCTGGGGACCGGAATCATCTGGAAGCTTCTCCACTCGAGTGTCAGATGCTCTGCTGAAATGACTCGAGGGTTAGGTTTAGCTCCAGCTGTTGCTTCTCAACGTAGCACCCAGGCTCCGAGAGGAGCAGGCGGGGGGCAGGGGCGGGGACTTGGGCTGGTGGCATCTGCTCAGTCTTTACCGCCGACTCAGAAGTCTCATAGCGTGACTTTTGCCGTGTTCTGTCAGTTGAAGCGGTCACAAGCCTATTAGATCCAAGGGGAGGGGACACAGAGCCCACCATTTATTTCTATAAATACATGGGTGAGCGTTATGCAAACGCAAACAGCAGAGACCCAATCCAGGCTAGGGATCAGAAAAGGCGTGTTTGAAGAAGTGACCTTCAGGCTGAGACCTGAAGGGCAGCTGGCAGACAAGGGAAGGACATTCCAGGCAGAGGGAAGCAGGAGGGATGGGAAACGAGGCTAGAAGTGCAGGCCGGTCGGGGACCAAAGCCATCACAAGGAGTTTGGATTTTACCCCCATGGTCCTGGGACACCACTGAGGATTCTAAGAGGAGACTGTTAGGCCAACTTTGTGAGCCTGGAAGATCTTTCCAAACCGGAGATATCTAGAAGAAACATAGGAAGCCGTGATGAGGCTGTGGGCCGGGCTAGAGGAGCCACCTGGTTGGACCAGGGCGGTGGCCACGGGAACAGAGAAAGTTGCGTGAAGGGAGGAATTTATTAGTCGTTAACGGGATGTGGTGTCAGAAGCGGCTCTTGGAGTGCTTGACGGTGCCATCTGATGAGACAGGGAACTCCAAGAGGGGTGCAGGGTCTACGGCAGGGAAGACAAGGTGTTCAGGTCACTTCATTTGGGGCCACCTGGGGCCTCCCTGCGTCATCTAGCGGCATAGCGGTTAAGAGCCCTGGTGCTGGCACTTGCAACCTGGGTTCAAATCCTCTCTGCCACTTGCCAACTGGACAAGTCTGGATGGGTCCCTTAACCCTGCTGAGTCTCTTTATCTGTAAATTGGGGACCATAGCGCCCCCACGTGGGGGGCTGACGTGAATATCAAACTGATGCTCAGACGTGTCCACTGTCGGAGGTGTGGCCAGTGCTCAGTGAGTGTGTAAAAACCAGATTACCACTGGAGACGGCTGTGCTGTGCACTTGGGATTGTGCACGTTCCCACATACACCGCACATCAACAAGGCGCTGGAGGCCGGGCACGGTGGCTCACGCCTGTAATCCTAGCACTCTGGGAGGCCGAGGCGGGCGGATTGCTTGAGCTCAGGAGTTCGAAACCAGCCTGAGCAAGAGCGAGACCCCATCTCTACTAAAAAATAGAAAGAAATTAATTGGCCAACTAAAAATATATAGAAAAAATTAGCCAGGCATGGTGGTGCATGCCTGTAGTCCCAGCTACTTGGGAGGCTGAGGCAGGAGGATGGCTTGTGCCCAGGAGTCTGAGGTTGCTGTGAGCTAGGCTAATGCCACAGCACTCTAGCCCGGGCAACAGAGTGAGACTCTGTCAAGGAAGGAAGGAAGGAAGGAAGGAAGGAAGGAGAAAGACAAAAACCAACACGCTGGAAACAAACCAAACTGAAAAATCGGCTGTGTCTGTGAGTCTCTGAACAAATTTTGTGGATGTGCTGAGCGCTCGTCGTTGTCCCGCAAAATGAATTGCGGGAACAATGACACCTCTAGAACTGCGGGTGCTTTATCTCATTTCTGTTCTTTCCCGGCCCCTCTCTGACCTCCTCAGAATGTCGTTCCAAAGAAGTGATTGTTCCCCCTCGCTGCTTAGCTATCAAATGGTGACAGAGTTGATGACTTTTGTTTTGGTTTAGTCGTCGCAATTTTCAAATTGTCACGAAAACACACAGATGCTGGTAATTTCCAAGCGAAACAGCAAAGCAACCGGAGAAACAGAGCTGTGCCCCAGCGTGGGGCGCCAAACACATTCGCAGGAGGCACCGACAGGCAGCGTTCTCGAAAAGCATAAATAGAGCGGAACAGCCAATTTTATAATTAACTGGGACTTGGTCTCCAGCGAAGCTTCCGCTCTGTGAAAATGGCCAAGCTGTTGCCAGGAGAGTGTGCCTTGTCCCCTCCTTAGGGCAGTAATAGGCTGGAGGTTTCTTTGCTTTGCCACATTTTCATATGTTTCAGGATGACACGCATTTCTTAATGGCTCGGAGTTGGGCTCCGTGCGTGGGCAGGACACTTGGGAGGAAGACACAAGCCAGGGTCTGGGGCGGGGGTACCAGCAGGACAGGGTATGTGCAAAAAGAACAGGAGGCCTCTATTCAAAATTATGAAGAATCTCAAGATGGTGACAGCAGAGCACTAAAGCAAGCGCGGGTCCCTTCTAAACACGGGGCTCTGTGTGACTGCACAGGTCATATACCCCTGAAGCTGGCCCTGGGTCTGGGACCATCCATGCTTCTGGAAGTTGGGGCACATCAATGGGTAGGGGCTCAGGCTGAGGGCGAATTACAGCTTCGGGGACTCCAGGGCTCAGGGTCCCACACGAGGGAGGACAGACAGGCAGCAGGAGTACAGTCAACACAAACAAACAAACATCCAATAGCACGATCCTTCTTCGAAGACAGTTTGGTAAGAAGTGTCAACCTCTCACAAACCCTTTGATTCCGCAGTTCTACTTCTGGCACTCTCTTCTTTATCTGTGCACCAAGGAGCAAGGTAACAAATACTAGAGTGTCTCTCGCAGTATTATTCTAGGATTATTTGATTGCATGGAGTGGAAATTCATTCAGTGGAGCTTGGGAAGGAGAGGGGGTTAAAGGGAAGGGTGCGGGTAAACCACACAGCCTGGGGCATGAGAGGCTGCACCTGGGACCTGGAAAATCAAGCCGCCATCCCTGCCATCTCTCCCAGCCTGCAGAGTCTCCTCTGCTTCTCTTGGAAGACGGGCCACTCCAGCCCTGCCGTCTCCACACGGCTTCCCAGTTCTTGCACCTGACACCAACCCCCTCCAAGCCCTTGGCCCAGCGCCTTGAGGGGATCAGACTGGGTCCATGATGGAAAAGCAACTCCATGGTGGGGTTCCTGCTCTGTTCTGATATCTGGCTGTGGGAGGGGAGGGGAGGGGAGAAGTTGATACTATGTTACAATTGGGAAAACCAGGGCTGTAGCTGTCAGATTCACGGAGAAGTCGGGGCGGGGAGGGGGGAGGGGAAAGAGATAAAAGACATTCCAGGTAAAAACTCAGTGAGATTAGTGAAGTGCTGTCCTACCATTTCCTCGCCTCTTCTGGGGTTTAATACTCTCTTGAGAATGTAGACTCTACCATGTATGTCCAAGATTGTTCTTGCCCTGCTCTGTTCTCTGCAGCATCGCTGGTTTCCAAGGACCCTGAAGGGGTGACGGGTAACTGGTCCATTTGCTGAGACTAGCTGTGTGTCTGTCACCCCTGAAAAACTTGCTTGGGAAGCCTGTCCAGCTCCCAGAGGCCCCGGGCTGTTTCTGGGGAACCACAAAGCCTTGGGACAGATGCCATCATGAGCAGAGCTTTGCCTGACTTCCCTGCACCCTCTCTGCTTGCTACAGCTCTGGCCCCTCCTCGGGCCGAATGATTCAGCTTCCCCAGAAGAGTCCCCTGCGACCACGGCCTGCCGGCTGCTCCCCGCCGTCCTCTGCCGAGAGCTTGTCCATGGATGGCTTTTGGATGGAGGTGGAGAGGATCCAACAGAGGGATGAGCTGAGAGAGGAGGACAGCAGTGACGGCCAGCTCCCAGAGGGTGAGGGACCCTGCTGGGGCCTGCAGGGCGGCTGGGAGGGCCTCATTTCAGGTGGGAAAATGTGAGCAGATCCAGACATGAACCAGAGTGTGAAAGTGTTTTTCTCTGCTGCCTGGACGGTTGCAGTAGCCTCTTTGATCTCCCTGCTTCACTCTCGCTCCCTACCCCCCGCGCTCTGTGCCACAGTCGAAATGATCTTTCATAATGTAAATGAGCTTATGTCCCTCCTTAGATTAAGGTATTCAGGACATATTTATCAAGTGCTTATTATTTGCTCGGCACTGTCTAGGCACTGGGGGTGCAGCAGTGAACACAAAACACAGTGTCCCTGGTGGAGCTGACAATCTAGGGGAATTCTAAGTCCTCTGCTGGAAACCTCAAATCTCTCCCCAGGTCTCTCAAACTTATAGACAATCATATCCCCCATTATCTATTACTGTGTGATAAGCCACCCCAAACTTAGCAATGTAAAGGACCAATAACCAATTGTTGCTATTATTATATCTCACCGTTCTGGGGGTTGACAGGGCTCAGCCAGGTGGTTCTCCTTCAGGGTCCCTGACGTGGTTACAGTCAAATGGTGGCTGGAATTGGGGTCATCTCAAAGGATTTCTCATTCATGTGTCTGGTGGTGGATGTGGCCATCATCAGCTGGGCCTTACCTGAGACTGTTGTCTGGAATACCTACCTACACGTGGCCTCTGCATGTGACCTGGGCTGCCTCTCGGCGTGGTGGCTGGGTTCCAAGTGCAGGAGTCCTGAGAGAGCCAGGTGGAAGCTGCCTTGCTGTTGATGACCCAGCTTTGGATAGCATCGCTTCTGCTGCATCCTGTGGCTCTCCGTGCAGCCCATATTCAAGGGGAAGGGAGTGAGGCTTCACCTCTCAGTGGGGTGAGAGTCAAAGGATTTGGAGACATACATTCAAACCATCACATCATAGCTCACCAGACTCTACAGAATCAACCCCATGCACCCCTCTGCCTCATCTCCTGCCCCTGGGCTGGCTGTCACTCTGCTCTGCGGGCCTCCTGCTGAGCCTGTATCCTAGAAGCACCTGCCTGCCCTGGGTCCTGTGTCCTCGCTGTTCCCTCTGCCCGGAATGCTCTTCTCCTGGTTTCCGCGTGGCTTCTTCTCTCCAATCAGGACTGGGCTCCGATGTCGCCGGTTTTCCTATATAAAATAGCACTGCCTGTCCCATGACCCTTAGCCCCTGCCCTACTTTCTACATCGTTACAGCAATTATCACTACCCGACATTACCCAGTGTCACTTAAGTTTGCATTTGCCCGTGTCCCCCACTAGAATGTAATGACCACGAGGCCAGGGGCATTGTCAGCCCTCTTCACTGCTGCGTCCTCAGTGCCCAGGGCAGAGAAGAGCACACCCCCCCCCCCAGCTTTACTTGTTCAGCAAACCAGGGAGTGAAAGGGCTCCACGTGGCAACCTTCTTGGTTTGGTGTTGAATTCAGCTGGGCCGGGGTCTGGTTGGCAAAGCCCCTGGTTGACAAAACAGATCCGATGGGAGACACAGGCCTCCTAAGGGCCTAATGGTCAAGTGCAGTGTCTGCAAGTGTGGAATGTAAATATTAATAAATCCCTGGTGACACAAGTGGTGGTTTTAGGAGAAGCCCTGCACTAGAGGCCCTCCGTGTGGCCTGTCTGGCATCACGACATGGCCAGCAATCTGATTGCAAACAAAGCAGAGGGATTGGAGTCAGAGTGGGTAAGCGAGAAGCCTTTTCGGACAACAATACAAACATGGGAGCTTTCTTAGACTCGCAGGGCAGAGGGAGCCTCTGTGTGGCACGGAGACAAGACGGTTAAGACATTCATTTTTGCCATTAAACTTGTACTCACAGCAGGTGAGGTTGGGTGCGCTATTGATGGGGAGGGTATTGTTTCTTTACAAAAATAGATCCATTTAAGTAAAAAACAGGGTCCATGATTAGGGAAAAATATTTGGTAAAATAATTTTACATGGGTAATTGGAAACAGATAAAAATTACAAAAGCAGCAGATGAATGTCTGTAGTTTAGGAAACACTGGCTTATTAAAAGGATCCTGTACAAATGAAAAAAATCCCGCCTACGATAGAATCAGCGCCCCCACCAGCCAGCCAGCGCAAGCTGGGGTGGATCTACAGCACTGCCCCGGAGGTGTTTGGTCTGGTTCCCAAGTGCAGGGAAGACATTGAGGAGACACTTCCATGTCTGGCTTATTTGCACAACCCAGGCTGCCATAAAAGCATTTGCGATTTTTCATTTGAAATTTTTTAACCATCAGTGCCTTGTGGACTAACTTGGCCCATGCAGGGTACAGCTGAATACACCCCACTCATCCTCTCGAGCATGTGCTTCCTCCACAAGCTCCTGTCCATTTCCCCATAATAGAGCCAGTGTTTCTCAGGCATGATCTGAAGACCCACTGCACTACAGTAATCTGGGGAGGACATTTCCAGTGCAGACTCCCAGGCCCTGGGCCTGAAGTCCTGGAGCAATCCCTGGAGATGGGGCCTGGCGTCCTGTCATCTCAACATGCCCCTACCATTTGGATTAATGGTTTTGCTATAGGACCGTGGCAGTTTCCTTACAAAGCACACAGAGGGCTATTCCACCATACCTAACATCTTGAACACAGGGACTTCCCAAGGGGACACCAACTGCTTGCCTGCACGGCTGAGCCCACCCATGTGACCTTGTGGTGGTCTCTGCCAGATTTGGGAGGAGAAGTGAGTTCATTGCTTCATACCCTTCTGCGGCTGGCTCTGTTTCCAAGGAATCGCAATGTTATAGGTTTAAATCCATCCCCTGGCTAATGCCATTAGTACCTTCCCCCCAGTTCTCAAATGCCTACTGAGATCTTCTCCCCGTGAAGACTTTGGTTGGTGTTAATGGTCTCACGATCAGATATGCAGAAGCTCCTGTGTCCGGGTGAGTGTGTGCTTCCACGTGGGGCTTGGATCAGTGTGTGTGGCTGAGCACGGAGCTGCGTGTGTTCATCTGCGTGTTCTCCCTCTGTTGGCAGAAGGGGAAGCTGAATCCCAGTGGCTGCAGGACACAGGCCTGTCGGGTCTCCTTGGTGGCCTGGGCTTGGACAGTGATCACCGGGAGCTCCTGTCCACCCTGACACAAACCCAGGTGGCCGCTGTGTGCCGCCGGCTGGACATCTATACCCGCTCAGCCCGAAGACGGCACAAGGCACCTATCAGAGATGTCAGGGACGTCTTTGGAGTCTTTAATGCAGGGGTAAGTGACATGTGGCTTATTGCAGGCCCTGTTTGACAGGGATGTCTGTAATGCCACTGCAGCCTGAGACATGAAGTGATTCTGCTGCAGGGCTGTGTTGGGGGCGGCGTGTGTGTTTGTGTGTATTTAGGGTGTGTGGGCTTGCACATGTTTGTCTTCCTACATGCCTCTATGTCCCTATGTTGCATGCAGGTCTTTGTCTGCTGTGCATGCCACTGTGTATATGCCTGTTGCCACTGTGTGTCCTTGGGTGGCCTGAAAGCTTAGGTTCTCTCTGTATAATCATTATCAGTAAAATTATAATACTTTTTATTGTCACATATATAACCTGCTGACACTTGAAGCCTGACCTCTTTCTTGGAATAGATTTAAAGTGGCATAACACAGTGCTTAAAACCCTAGACACTGGGGCCAGACAGACCTGGGGCCCAATGTCCACTCCCCCAATTAGCAGCTGTGTGATCCTGGGCAAGTAAATTGGCATCTCTGAGCTTCAGCTGCTCCATCTGTGAAGGTGGGGGTGTGCATGGCTCCTGTATCCCAGGGTTGTGTGGGTATCATCTGCTTCCCACGTGACTCACTGGGCACTGTCTGTAATTTGCATAGGGAGTGTCTTCAGAGAATGGGGACTCAGGTGTGAAATGGACCCAGCTCAGTTGTGGGGCTTCCAAGTCTCCTCCAGGTAAGGGGCCTTCTTCATTCTCCAGGGCCCTGGGATCCTCCGGGCTGCACGAAGGGCTGCTGTGTGAAGAGGATGTGCGCAGCTCTGAGCATTTCCCTCTTCCTGTCGGCTCCTTGCCTTCCCAGCTGGAGGGGAAAAAGGAGGACCCCTGAGGAGACAAGTTGGGCCCTCTTAAGGGGCTATTGTCATGAGGCCCATGGGGCTTAGCCCGAAAATCACTTCCTGGGCAGTGGGCCTTAGCCCGAAAATCACTTCCTGGGCAGTGGGCCTTAGCTAGGAAATCACTTCCTGGGTGATGAGGCTTGGCTAGGAAATCACTTCCTGGGTGATGAGGCTTGGCTAGGAAATCACTTCCTGGGCAATAGGCCTGAGCCCTAAGTCTAATGATTTGATCCTGGGGCTTTGAACTTGAACCTGGGAAACCACTTCTTGAGGCCAAGGGCCTGAGTCCTGCACCTAGGAACTTGCTTCCTGGCAGCCAGTCCCCACTGCCGCTCTGTTTTGTTTCCGAAGCAGCAGCAGAGCCTGGGAGGCCACAGGAGCAGGCTGGGCGGGAAGAAGCCTTCAACATGGACTCTGCCTACTCGGAACAAGCCGCAGCGCTCCTGCAGAGGGCCAGGCCATCCTCAGGAGGCACCTGTGCCTGGGGCAAGGGCTCCCTGCCGGTGAGGACGCTGCCCAGAGGGCTGCTGGCCAGGCCTGGTCCTTAGCACCAGCACATCCTGCCCTCACACTTTCCTCCTCACACCTTCCCTGCTGCTAGGCATTGAGTGGGAAAGTTGTTGAATCATCCATTTATTTAATTCATACCATGAATATTTACTGAATGGCTGCTGGGTGTCAGGGTTGGGGGACAGGGGGGCAGGGTGTCAGGTCTGGGGGGCAGGGGGCTTACAGTCTAGCAGCGCTGCCAGTGTTTTCACTGATGCTATTTTCTTTGCTTTCATCCTTAGAAAGTCCTTTCTCATCCAGCAAACTGATAACTGTCCAACAACATATGTTTTTTAGCTATTTTTGATGTATTTATTTTAGAAGTCAGTTTTAAACCTAAGTCTAGCCTTTTCTTAAAATTAATGTTGGTGCCTGGTATGAGAGAGAGAAGGATTGTTTTCTTTTTTTTCCAAATGTTCAATGGGCCCAGCACAGTTCCTGCCAAATTTGGCTGTAGTCATTGATACTTAGTGTTTTCAGATTGAAGCATAAATCATGGTAAAGTGTGCAGAGATTTACCATGCATCACATTTACCGATGTGCGTCCCTGTGTAACTACCACCAAAACAATCATGATGTAGAAACTTCCTCTCCCCACTCCCCGATGGCTCCCCCATGCCCCTCCCAGGTCCTCCCTCTCCCCACAGGGTGGACACTGCGCTGACTTCTCTGGTGGAGTGCATAGGACAGTCCTGCTCTTCCTAAAGGAAGACTTTCTTCACTCGCCACATTATGATGTGGCTGGATGATCCTGGTACCATCTTGCTGAGGGATGCCCTGGCCCCAGGCATGGTTCCCAAGGCTTCCCATGCACTGGCTTGTTTCCTCCCCTTGTCCTTGGAGATGAGTGCTGTCGTTGCTCCCCCACTTTATGATAGAAGAAAGAGAAATGAAGCTCAGTGACTGAGCCGGCACCAAGGCCAGGACTAGAAACCGTTGGAACCTGACCCTAGATCCTTTCCCAACTGACCACCACGCTCTACTGCTTAGAAGTTGCCCGCCCCCTGCAATGACCTCTGTTCCAATGTGAAAGTACTTTCACTCATTCAAATGGAATTTTATTTTAAACTTTTAAAAATAAACTTTTACTTTGAAATAATTTTAGACTCACAAGAAGTTGCAAAAATAGTACTAAAGTTCCCATGTACTCTACACCTAATTTCTCCAACCACAGTACATCAAATAAAATTTGTGGTTTTTTTTTTTTTTTTTTTTTTGAGACAGAGTCTTACTCTGTTGCCAGGGCTAGAGTGAGTGCCGTGGCATCAGCCTAGCTCACAGCAACCTCAAACTCCTGGGCTCAAGTGATCCTCCTGCCTTAGCCTCCCAAGTAGCTGGGACTACAGGCATGCACCATCATGCCTGGCTAATTTATATATATATATTTTTTATTATTATTATTATTTTTTTTAGGTGTCCAGCTAATTTCTATTTTTTTAGTAGATACAGGGTCTCTTGCTTAGGCTGGTCTTGAACTCCTGAGCTCAAACGATCCTCCTGCCTCAGCCTCCCAGAGTGCTAGGATTACAAGCGTGAGCCACCACGCCCAGCCAAAATTTTTGAATAATGAGTTTCTATTCCTAAAGCATCAGAGATAATTAATATTCAACATTATCCTGTCTTCCTTGATGATTTTCTCTATTAAATTATGAATGATGATGATAATTAATAATGCTAATGATATCACATATTGATCCTTTACCACAAACCAGGCATTATGCCAAGTACTTTACATACACGACTTAATTTCATTCAGTTACGTTTGTAGTAATTGTCTGTGTAAATAAACTAAAACCAAGTAATAGTAATTATTGAGTACTCACTGTGTGTCAGACATTATTTTTTATATGCTTTATTGGATTTAATCTCCCCAACAGTCCTGTGAAGTAGATACTGTTTTTAGTTCCATTTTGCAGATGAGAAAATCAGCACAGAGACAGAATTATTTGTTTGAACTCACAGGTGAAGCCAGGGCTTTGAACCCAGGAAGTGTTACTCCATAGTCCATGCACCAAGCACCGGGCTGTATTATAACCACAGTGTTATTAAATACAACCAACAGCATGCTTCCCTCCCCTTTGAGCACTCGAATGGGGCTCTGGGGAGTCATTCCGTCAAGTCCTCCAGGCAACAGGGGACAAATCTGTCCCTCTTGCTGGCTTGTCTGGCCTTTGGCTGCAGGAATGCCTGGAGCTGCCTGCAGCTCCCCCGAGTGGCCTCTAGATGGCGCGGCCGAGCACCGTTTGCGTCTGTGCGTGGTGTGGCCGAGGGTGAGGGACGGAGGACAAGAACAGGAGCAATGAATGGACGATAAGAGGCCCCTGGGCTGAGTTCCCTGCCCCAGGCCCTCTCGGGGGACCGCAGGTAGTGAAAAAGCTTCCACTTCCTGGGTCCTGGCTGCGTGCTTGGCAGGATGCTGACACTGTGTGCCCATTCATTAGCTGGTTTCAGTCTCGCAGAACCTGACGAGGTAGGCAGGCCCTGTGCCATGGCTCCAGGTGCAGAACCGGAGGCTCAGGTGTCGCAGGTTAGCAAGAGGTCGAGCTTGGACGTGACTCTAGGACGGAGCCCTGCGCTCCCACTCTCATCCACTCTGCTCCCCTGCGCCAGTGCCCGGAAGGGGTGGGGACACCCCAAGGTGCATATCGGACCCGAATGTGGTCACTTCTCCTCCCTGAGCTCCTCATCATTCAGGGCATGACAAATTGCTTTACTTCCCTCTCTAGAAGTTCCGAATCCACAAAGGCAGACTTGGCGTGACGAGGATAGCAGACTTGTCCCCGCAGGATATGAAGAAGGTCCCTCCTCTGGCCCTCATAGAGCTGACTGCACTCTGCGACGTCCTGGGCCTGGACCTGAAGAGGAGCAAGGCGGGGAAGTGGAAAGCGGCGGGTGAGCCGTCCCAGCACGGGAAAACGCGGTGACTGACGTCCTAGCTTTCTCACCTGGCTGGACGCAGGACGGTCCCACCGAGACATGCTTCTGTATTTCTTCTGGTTATACTACTTTTTTTTCTGCATAAGAAAACAATTCCTGCTCATTGTAGCAAATTTGCGAAATAGAGTAAAATACAAAAAGGAAAAATGTAATCCAGATATTATATAAGCACAGTTAACTTTTAGTGTATTCTGTGTGTGTGTGTGTGTGTGTGTCCTTTTTCACTTAATATTATAGAATTTTGGACATTTTCCAGTTATTCCATCATTCAGTGATGCCACCATAACGCTACATATCTAACAACCCCAAACTCTTACTCTTGCTCACGTGTTTGTGGGCAGACTGGGAGTGGTAGGCTGGGCTTGGCTCCAAGCTGTTGGCTGGGTCTAGGTGGGCCTCACGGGTCTCCCATGCTCCTGGCCCCAGCAGGCCATCTGGAGCCTGTCCTCATGCCAATGGCAGGGGCACAGAGGGTAAACCACGCTCACAACGCATCTTAAGCCTCTGCCTGCACATGTAGGTGACCATGCCATGAGTCCAAGCTGGTCACACGGCCAAGCCCGAAGCAAAGGGTGAGGAAGTACACCTGCCTTTAAATGGGAAGAATTGCAAATTCGGCCAGGCGAGGTGGCTCACGCCTGTAATCCTAGCACTCTGGGAGCTCAAAGCGGGAGGATTGCTTGAGCTCAGGAGACCAGCCTGAGCAAGAGCAAGACCCCGTCTCTACTAAAAATAGAAAGAAATTAGCCAAACAACTAAAAATAGAATTAGCTGGGCACGGTGGTGTATGCCTGTAGTTCTAGATACCCGGGAGGCTGAGGCAGGAGGATCCCTTGAGTCCAGGAGTTTGAGGTTGCTGTGAGCTAGACTGACTCCATGGCACTCTAGTCCGGGCAACAGAGTAAGACTCTGTCTCAAAAAAAAAAAAAAAAAAGAATTGCAAATTCCCATGGAAAATGGTGTGGGTACAAGGGTGGTGGTGGTGGATTTGGAATATAGTATCATTTAGCTAAATATTCAACATTCTTTGAGAACATGATTTTTAATCACTGTACTATTTTCCTCCTTAAGAATGTATCCTAATATATTTCACCATTTTCCTAACAGTGAGCATGCCCATGTTTTTCCTGTTATAATACACAATCACTATTGCTATACATATAACTTTGATTTTTAATTTTTTTTTTTTTTTTTTTTTTTTTTTTTTTGCAGAGACAGGGTCTCGTTCTTGCTCAGGCTGGTCTCGAGCTCCTGAGCTCAAACAATCCTCCCGCCTCAGCCTCTCAGAATGCTAGGATTACAGGCGTGAGCCACTGTGCCCAGCCTAAACTTTGAATGGATCTTAGGTTATTTTAGAATATACTTATGAATTAAGTTCTTGATACATATTGCCCTTGAATAGTATATGAAATTGTTCATCTCACTGCATCATGATCAGCATTACACATGGCAATTTTTTGTTTGTTTCTCTAAAGGGGATGATTATATAAGACAGACCACAGGGAAGGGTCTAGCAGAGGTAGGGTGGGTGGTGAACAGAGAAAGAAGGAAGTTGTAGAGCAGATGTGGAAGCAGGAGTTTTCCTGAGACTTCAAGCCAGGATGGTTGAGGAAGTCCTGGGAAATGCATTTCTTAAGAACTCAGCCCATTCCTGCAGAGATAGCCCCTCTACCCTAGACTGTTGTCGCCTATCGTGCCCGGTCCTCCCTGGAGCAGTAGCACATTTCCATACCTCTTTGTCCAGCTGAGATTTCTAGCTCTGTAACATGTCTAACGTTTCCGTTATTGCTGAGGCCGATGTTCTGCCCAAGAGCTGTGGGGAATTGGGTCCAGCCATTCTCTAGAGAGCTCAGTCCTTCCACAGGGAAAGGGGTCTGGTTCTAGTCGACCAGGAGATCTTGCAGGTTGGAGCCCAACTGTCATTCCAGAAAGTGAAATTGCACCTTCTGCTCTTCCGACTCCCCACAGACACTCGCCTCTTCGGCGTGCCCCTCGATAGCCTGTTAGAAGCTGACCACAAAGTCCGCCCCAGCGCACAGGTCCCGCTGGTCCTTCAAGCCGTGAGTTGTCCCCAGCTTGGGCTTACTTAACCCTTCAGAGGCTGGCTCTGGGCTCCATTTTGGGGAGATGTCCAGCATAGGGGTGAGAGTGTGGGCTTTGGAATCAGGCAGACCCGGGTCCAAATTCTGGCTCTGGCACCTGCTAGCTCAGAGACGTGGGGCGGGTTTTTGAACTTCCCTGAGCCTCCCTTTCAACATGCATAAAATGGGATTATAATAACAGTATCCCTCTCTGATTAATGATTAAATGAGAAAAATGTGTATAAAGCTCTCAGATTGCCTGGCTTGTGGAAGTGGTTAAGAAAAGGATTGCTATTTAGGGGCAACCTTGCTGCTGGTACTCTCCTCTTCCTGGTGTTCGTGAGAGATAAACACATCCGTTTGAAACCCACTTTTCAGCAGCTGCTGGTTTAAAGATTGGTTTTGTTCTCTGATAGCTGCTGTCCTGTTTGGAAAAGAGAGGGCTGGACACGGAAGGCATCCTCAGGGTGCCTGGATCCCAGGCCAGGGTCAAGGTAATGGTTTGACTTCCCCCACTTCACCCGGGCTGCACCTCCCCGGTTCCCCATGTGTGTGTTAAGCCAGGAGAGAATCCAGTCCCTGGCTTCTTGGTGTTCCGTCCTTGGTCTCTGGGGGGTCGTGGGATTCCAGCAGGGTTTGAGAGGATAGAGTGGCACGTTAGTATGGTGCCTGAAAGCGTGGGCCCTGGAGTCAGACCGACAACATCTATTGAGTGGGCCCTGTGCTCTGTAACTCACAGGTACGAGGCCATTTAATCCTCACATCCGCCCCACGAGGGAGGTGCTATTGTGGTCCCCACTTTGCAGAGGAGGAAACAGGCTCAGAGAAGTGGTAGACTAGCTTCTACTGGAGCATTGGGCCAAATGCGTATGCACGCCCCTCCTTCCCACAGGGGCTGGAACAGAAGCTGGAGAGGGACTTCTACACTGGCCTTTTTAGCTGGGACGAGGTTCATCACAACGATGCGTCCGACTTGCTCAAAAGGTTCATCCGGAAGCTGCCAGCGCCTCTGCTCACCGCCGAGTACCTCCCAGCCTTCGCCGTGGTGCCCAGTGAGTGTGCCCGGAGCCCTTCGCTGGGCAGACAAGGAGAGTTTGGTGTCACTGGCCTTGGTTGCAGAGGGCAAGTGGTGTGAAGACAGGGCTCCCTGTTCCCGGGAACGCCTGTTCCTGTGACCTCAGGCTGCTGCTGGAGGAAGCATGTGTGAGCTTGTGTGCCCAGTGAGTGTGCATTTGCGTGTGCACATGTGTTCTGTGTGTGCTATGTGCACACGCACAAGTGCACACATGTGTGCGATGTGACAGGGAGAAGAGGAGGCCAAGGTTCTGTTCTGTTTTGTTTTGTTTTTGTTTTTGTTTTGAGACAGAGTCTCGCTTTGTTGCCCAGGTTAGAGTGAGTGCCGTGGCGTCAGCCTAGCTCACAGCAACCTCAAACTCCTGGGCTTAAGCGATCCTCCTGCCTCAGCCTCCCGAGTAGCTGGGACTACAGGCATGCGCCACCATGCCCGGCTCGTTTTTTCTATGTATATTAGTTGGCCAATTAATTTCTTTCTATTTGTAGTAGAGACGGGGTCTCGCTCTTGCTCAGGCTGGTTTCGAACTCCTGACCTCAAGCAATCTGCTCGCCTGGGCCTCCCAGAGTGCTAGGATTACAGGCGTGAGCCACCGCGCCCAGCCAAGGTCAAGGTTCTGTACACCATAGTCCCTATTAGTCCTCGCATGGACTCGTGCACTAGTTTCCTTCACTACTTTTTTTTTATTGTTATATTAATAGATTTAGGGCATACAGGTTGAATTCTGTTACATGTATAAATTGTACAGTGGTTCCTTCACTTCTTGGCATCCATAGAATTGAGCTTGTGAGGTTCATCTAACTGTGATCTGTGGACACACGTGTGGTGCATGTCCATTGGTGAGCACGTCTGCAGATCAGCATGTAATGCATGGAGCCCTCTCTGTGTTTTTTTGTTCGAGACAGGGTCTTGCTCTGTTGCCTGGGCTAGAGTGCAGTGGCATCATCATAGCTCACAGCAACCTCAAACTCCTGGGCTCAAACAATTCTCCTGCCTCAATCTCCCGAGTAGCTGGGACTACAGGTGCCCACCACCACACCCAGCTAATTCTTCTATTTTTTGTAGGCACAGGGTCTTGCTATGTTGCTCAGGCTGGTCTCCAACTTCTGACCTCAAGCGATCTTCCTGCCTCGGCCTCCCAAGGTGCTGGGATTTTAGGCATGAGCCACTCTGCCGGCCCCTTCTCTGTTTATATCCTGCGTGTATTTGTTCTGTCTGAGTGTCTTCACAGTTCACAACATGCAAACACAGTCACTTCTATTTATTCTTTATTCCTTTCTGAAAAAAATAAAGCAACCTACTTGAGATCCCACCTTGTGACCTTCAGGATGCCTTCTCTTCTCTTCTCTTCTCTTCTCTTCTCTTCTCTTCTCTTCTCTTCTCTTCTCTTCTCTTCTCTTCTCTTCTCTTCTCCTCTCCTCTCCTCTCCTCTCCTCTCCTCTCCTCTCTCTCTCTCTCTCTCTCTCTCTCTCTCTCTCTCTCTCTCTCTCTCTCTCCTCTAAAAACCTTCAGAGCTCAGGGAGTCTGATTTCTACCCCCAAGCCAGAGGCAGGGCCCTGAGAGGTCCCCTCTGGCCTTTGCTTCTCACAACCTAGCTTTCAAACGTGAATCATGCCAGTTGTGTTGGTGTGCACTCGTAGTCCTGGCACTTTGGGAGTTTAAAGGGGGAGGATCCCCTGAGGCCAGGAGTTCCAGACCAGCCTGAGCAACATAGCAAGACCCTGTCTCTAAAAAACATGTAAAAATTAGCCAGGCCTGGTGGTGCACACTTGTAGTCCTAGCTACTCAGGAGGCTGAGGCAGGAGGATCACTTGAGCCCCAGAGTTCAAGGCTACAGTGAGCTGTGATGATGCCATTGTACTTCTTCAGCCTGAGTGACAGAACAAGACTTCATTTCAAAACCACAACACTCTTGTAATAAGATCTCCTTACGGGGCCTATCTCTGACCCATCTCCTCCTGTCTACCCTCCCCTCGTCTACCAGCTTGGCCTGCTTTGATGCCCTTTCCTGATCGCGGCCTCTGCCCTGCTCTTCTTTCTCACTAGAACCCCTGCCCCCTCCAATTTGGCTGCTTCTTGCTGCTCAAATGTCAGCCCAACATCAGCAGCTTGGAGAGGCCTTCCCTGACCCCACCTGCTGGGCGTAATGAGGTCATGATGCCTGTCATTACTCTGTTTTACTTTGTCCATAAGATGAATCCATGTTTGGAGATATTTAGTTATTTCTTTGCTTGGCTATTGTCTGTCTCTCCCCTGAAACGTCAGCCCCGGGAATCTGTAACCTTGTTTGCTTCCTTCTCTACTGTGTCCCAGGTTCCTGCACTGGAGGGTGGCACCTCCAGGTGTAGGTACTTGATAGATTTTGTTGAGAAGTGAGTGGATGAATGAATGAATGCCACACGGATCCTAGGGACGAAGCCCTGGGCGCTCAGCCTCTCTGTCCCCCACGCAGCGATTCCGCAGCTTGCAGCTAGCTTTCGGCTGCTGGGTCCAGTCTGACTCTGGTGAACTCTCTCTTTGAATTCTATAACTGCCATCCCTCTCTTCTCCCTGGAGATCCTGCCCCAGGTGCAGGAAGCTTTTCCTTCTCATCCTCCACGCCACAAAGGGTTTCATTAAACCTTCTGTCCAGGACAGTTGAGCCAACGATCTCGGCTGGCCCACTGCCTTTCCGACCCTGGGTTGTAGCTCTCAGCCTGTATATCTGGGTGTGTGCATGTGTGTGTGTGTGTGTGTGTGTGTGTGTGGCTGTGGTGTGCCGTGTGTTGTAGCTCTCAGCATGTGTGTGTGTGTGTGTGTGTGTGTGTGTGTGTGTGTGTGTGTGTGTGCGTGTGTGTGTGTGTGTGCGCGTGTGTGTGTGTGTGCGTGTGTGTGTGTGTGTGTGTATTTACTTTTTATTCACAAAGTATAGTGAGTGAGCTCTGAGCTGACATTAGACCAGGAAATAGTCCCAGCCCTTATGAGAAAGGGCTCCTGGCTGTCCCTGGGCTCTCCAGCTCCGGAATCTCCCCAAGAAGAGTCCAGACCAAGGGAGGGAGACTCCCTGGGCCTCCCCGGGAGACTGAGGCCTCCCCTTCCCGCAGACATCCCGGACCTGAAGCAGCGTCTGCAGGCCCTGCACCTGCTCATCCTCCTCCTCCCGGAACCCAACAGGAACGCCTTGAAGGTAAAGTGGCCCGAGCGGCCTCCACTTTGACATCTCAGCCTGCAAACACAGCGATGGCTCCAAATGTGCTCATTCATTCATTCATCCATTCGACAACCATGCCAGGTGCCGGGGGCAGTGATGCCCCACGCAGACCTTTCCTGGGACTTTTTCCTAAAGAAAGCAGATGAGTCCTGAAAGGGGGTGGTCCCAGCCAGCGTGGGCACCGCAGAACATCAGTTCTACATGGCGCTGGCAGGTGTTACAGGGGAAAGGGTTCTGTGTCCAAATAAGATGGGTAAACATGGAGTTAATGAAACAAAGGATAATTTTCCTGCAGGACTTCTCAGAGCCTTTGCTATGCCAAGGCTTTGTGACTCTCAAGTGGAATTAGAGCACTTTCCAAACTCAGTTGATCATGGACCTCTTCTGTTGTGGAAAGCATTGCATGGCACTGGTATTCTGTGGGGAACCAGTTTGGGAAGCAATCCCTTAGGGAATCCCCATGGGGGAGTGCGTGCTCAGGGCTGAGGGCTGGGGAGCAGCCTTGGCTTCGCTCCCTGTAACCTGACTGTGCCTGGGCCAGACTCAAGATATGCCTCCAGGAGAGCCTGGGAGGGGCCCAGTGTCTTCCTCTTTGAATTTGTTTCCTTTTCAGTAAACTGAGGATAATAATAGCCTCTTATCTGGCTGCTTTGGAAATTATAAGAACTAACACATGAGCACTCATGGAGTAGAAGATGTGGTACTTTGCAGATACTCAGTATATCCTCTCCCTCCCTTCCTTCTTTCCTTCTTCCCTCCCTCTCTCCCTCTCTCCCTCCTGCCCTCCATCCCTTTCTTCTATCCATTCTGCCTTCCTTCGTTTCTTCTTTCCATCCATCTTTCTTCTTTCATCCATTCATCCACCCTCACCCATCCATCCATCCATTCATATTTCTTCTTTCTTCCATCCCTCCCTCCCTCCCTCCTTCCAGCCATGCGTCCTTACTGGCTACGTGGCCCTTGGCACATTCTCCAAGCCAGCTTCCTTCTACATACAATGGGTACAGCACTAAAGCCTACTTTGTACAGTTATTGTGAGGATTAAAGGAGAAGATAAATGCATGCAAGGTACTAACTGAAGACCAGGGACAAAAGAATTCTTAGTAAATGGTAGCTACTACCATCCTCCCCCTTTCTCCCCAGTGGCCCTGCTTCCCTATTCCTCCCGTGCATTTTGGGCAGGGCCAGACTCCAGGAAGAAGGAGCTGTCTTGGGGCTCCCCAGGAAAAGGCCTGCAGCTCTTTTCTACCTGGAAGTTGAATTCTGACCCAAATGTCTTGTTAACCTCCAAGGGAGCAGGGAAGGGAGAGAGTTTTGGGCACATTTTGCAGAGTAGGAGACTGAGACACAGATCACAGAGTGGGGCGCTAACAAAGTGGAACTGAAACCCCCTTTCCTGCCCTCCCAGGCCCTGCTCCTTCCTAGCGTCCCCACGTCAGGCGTCAGGATGTTCTGGGGAAGGTGGGAGCCACCAGGGGCGTGCTAGGATTTGAGGGAGGCTCTGCGCCCTTCCCTAGGCACTCCTGGAATTCCTCAGGAAGGTGGTGGCCCGGGAACAGCACAACAAGATGACCCTGTGGAACGTTTCCACGGTGATGGCCCCTAATCTCTTCCTGCACCAGGGGCGGCCGCCCAAGCTGCCCAAGGGCCAGGAGAAGCGGCTGGCAGAGGGCGCGGCCGAGGTGGTGCAGCTGCTGGTGCACTACCAGGACCTGCTGTGGACGGTGAGTGCTGCCGGGCCCCACCGGACAGAGGGGGTTGTCCCCCAGGGTCGTGGGCACTGTCCTTCCCAATCCTTCTGTCTCCACTGCCACACCTGTCCTTTTCGGCCATCTGGTCTAGCCCAGGTTGCAGGTGTCCCCTGAGCTCTCACGAAGAATTCCGCACAGCTTCGGTGATGCTGAGAAAGGCCCGTCCCTGAGGCTCGGGAACACTGGACCTGCCTAAGAACCTCCCCACCCTCACCATGAGCTTTGCCCTGTAGAGCAGGCAACAGCTCGGGGAGGGGCAAGAGCAGGGGGAGACAGCCCTGGGGGTCGGCATGCAGGTGTGTCGAAGGCCAGGGCGGGGCAGCAGCACCGAGGAGACCCCTCAGGCACTTGGAGATGTGTAGCCTCTTCCCTCCATGTGCCCATTCATCCTTCCAATTAGCCTCCCATCCATCGGCCCACCTACCCACTCACCCACCCACTCATCCATCCACCCCCGCCCTCCTCCCATCCCGCCCTCTATCCATAAAGCCTTTGGGATGGATTTCTTACTCTGGAAACCAGCAAGTGAAGCCCTCTCTGACTGTTCCCGGTTTCTCTCCCCCACCCAGCTGGCTCTCCAAACTCACTTGTACTTCACACTCCTGGGTTCTTGCTTATGCTGTTCACTCTGCCTGGAGTTCCCTTCCCTTTCTTTTTGACATGGCAGAAGCCTGGAAACCCCTGCTCATTGTCAGCTCTGTTGAAAGCCCCTGCTCCTCCCCAATCGCCCCGTACACCCCAGAGCTCCTTTCTTCTCTGTGCTCAGCCCCCAAGATAACGTCACTACTCAAACACGTTGGATTATAACACCTTTTTATTGGAGGGAATTTTTTAAATTCCAGAAAGTTCTAAATGCCTTCTTGTTATAAAAGCTTCAGACAACATAGACGTAGATAAAGTGAAATGGGAGGACCGCCCCCCGCAAAACACAGCGCTGGGGCTCCTCAATATGTAGCATCTTAATCAGGCCTCAGGCACGCACAGCAAGGAGAGGGGCCAGAGTCCACCCCGTTCTGTCAGCCCCCCGGAAACGTGCGTTGTCGTCAGGGAGAGCCTGGATTCTGTGACTCTGCCGCTGGGTTGGGGTTGGACAGAGGCACGGGTTGATCTGGAGGTGTCTGAAGGACCCCCCCCCGCAGTGTGGACCGTCTGGGGGTTCTCAGAGCAGGAGCCCACTCCAGGCGTGGTTTGGGGACAGCCCTGCCTGAGTGTGCCGATGAGCGGCCGTCCTTAGCCAATGCAGGGCCCTCCAGACTGCACGGAGGAGACGGCTGTCCACCAAGCCTCGGTGTGGGCTCTGCTCTCAGAGGCTCGGTGCCCCTCCTCCCACCAAACTCGTGCTTCCGTCGCATGTTCCACAGACCGGTGTTTGCAAGCCCTGTGCGGGATGCTGGGGCAGGGACGCGACCCCGGTGACCCTGGAGGGGCTCCGCCTCGCCCCGCAGCAGTCCCTCCCAAGACTTGATTCTTTCTGGCCAGGTCGCCTCTTTCTTGGTGGCCCAGGTGCGAAAACTGAACGACAGCAGCAGCCGGCGCCCCCAGCTCTGCGATGGGGGCCTCAAGACTTGGCTGCGGAGGATACACGCAGACAGGGACAAGACGGGGGACTGCCCGGAGGCGGTGAGTGCCCCGCGGCGGGCGCACGGAGAAAGAGCGGGAGGCGCGTCCCGGAGCCGGGAACGGCCGAGTGGGGCCGCCAGGGGGCGCCCGGGCGCCGCCGCAGCGAGCGAGGGGCGGGTCTCGGTGGGGAGCTGGGACCCCCGGGTTGGTGGCCAGGGCGCTTCTCCTGGGAGCCGCCTCCCCAGCCCCACTTTTAGGCAGCCCCCCGTGCGCCTGGCCGAGGGGTCGGAAAGTGGGGTCGCTCCGTGGGGTGCAGGGTGCTTGGGGCCCGGCAGCGGGGAGCAGCAGGGAGGGGCCCTCCAAGATACCGAGTGTTCCTGGGGAGAGTCCCGAACTCGTTCCTCACCAAGCCCAGCTCAGAGAACGTGCCCGAGGGTGGGCTCTGCACTGCGCGTGCCACGTGTGCGTGGCAGGTCTTTATGCGAACCTCCCTGCGTGCGAGTGGAGGTGCGCTGGGTGCCCGCCTGAGTGCACGTGTGCAGGCGCGTTTCGATGCGTGTTTGTGCATGCACACACGGGGGATCTGGCGCATACGTGCACGAGTGCACCCTGTCATGTTGTTCGCCTGGCCGTCTGCGCCAGTGTGCATGGGTGCGTGTGTATGCACGTGTCTGAATTCCAGCCGTGCACGCGGTGCCTGTGCGTGCGGCTCTCTCTCTGCAGACTCTCAAGGTGGCGAAGATCCAGGTGGCCTGGCCTACCAGTGACGTCCTGAAGGTGCCTCTGACCCCCAGCACCAGAGTGGCCCACGTCCTGAGGCAGTTCACAGAGCGCAGCAGCCTTGGTTCAAAGGGTCGAGAGGGCAGTGAGGACACGGACAGCCTCCTCCAGCGGTGAGGGGCAGCCCCTGGAGGCAGGGAGCAAGGAGAGGGCACAGGGAGGGGACAGCGGCGCCTCAGAGCCCTGGGCCTGGCCTTTGGCCTTTCCGTTTCTAGGGTGGTCAGGCAGGGTCTCCAGCCTTCGAGAGCTTCTTGGCTCCAAATAATAATGACCACCACTTATTTACTCATTCATTTTAGTAGGTGTTTAATGAATGGCCAGGCATCATGTCAAATACCAGAATAGTCATGACGAGAAGACAGAGGTCCTGGTCTCACAAGCTCACAGCCCTGTGGAAGAGAGGGACATAGATCAATAGTCATGAAATAAAGATCAAGGTACAAACTGTTAGGTTTTATAAGAAATACAAGGAACAATGTGAATGTAAAACAAGGTCCCTGTGTAGTCTGGGAAGTGAGCTAAGGCTTCCAGGCACAGAAAATGGCACGAGCAAAGGTCCTGAGGCAGCAAGGAACAGAGCATGGGCAAAGAGCTGAAAGGAGGCTGGGGGAGCGTTGGGGGCTGATGTGTGCAGCTGCCCTTCTCAGGATGCGAGAAACAGCCTGAGCCCTCGGGGGCTTCCTTCTTGGAGTTGGCACAAGAAGGTCCTTAGTGAGTGTCTGGTCCAGAAAAGCTAAGGCCCAGAGAGGAGAAGGGGCGTGCCTGGGGCCACATGGCACTTTGGAGGCAGATCCTGGAATTGAACTCAGGATGCCCACAATTATCATACAATAATTACATAGCACTTGTATGATAATTATAATTATCCCATGTAATCATACAATATCCCTAATCCATCTTGACTCAGAATCTGCCTCTCACAGCAGGCTCCTGTCCCCATCTGTCACCCTTCATCCCACTGCCCCCACAGCCTCCATTCCAGTGCCCAGTAGGAAGGGGCCGTGGGTGGCTGCTGCCGCTTCCCGGCCCCTGGGTGCCGGACTCCTTGGTTGGCTCCAACTGTGCCAGGAGGGCCCTTGCACCTCTTCTCTCACCTGGGACCAAAAATCTTGAGGACAGCCCTTTCCAGGCCTGGGGAGTCACACGTAGTTGTCGACCTTACTGCCTCCAGAGGAAGAGGCCAGCAGTTTTTTCTCTGTGTCTTGCAGCCGCCGGTCCATGAAGTCGGCCAACATCCTCCTTTATGAAGTTGGAGGAAATATAAGTAAGTCCCTCTTGGGAAGTGGGTCCAGAGCCCAGGTCCCTGGGAGTTCTTTGACTCTGAAGGCTCACTGGGCCCCTCTGGGGGAGGCCAGAGTCCTGCTCAGGCCTGTCTCCAGTGAAACCAAGTGGAGCTCTGCTGTGAGGTCAAAGGTCAGCCTGGGCGCACCTTTGAAATCCATCCTACAGCTTGGAGTTTTGCCCAGAGCTGGCCTCAGGCTTCATCTTTAGTGTGAAGGTGGTCAGTGCCACCAGCGAAATTGATGCTTCTGGGACATCTAGCCGGGGTGGACCTCACCCCAGGCCCATGGGCCACAGAGCCCTTAAGGAATTCTGCCAACATATGGCTAGCTCTTAGCGGTCCCTGGCTTTGTGGAAACCAAGGATGGGCAGCTGTTGCGTTCTCTTAGAGCAGTGACCCCCAAACTTCAGCAGTGCATCAGAAACACAGGCCTGCGTGGGGCCAGAGAACGTGCGTTTCTAACAAGGTCCCAGGTGATGCTGGTGCTGCTGGTCCCTGGGCCACAAGAGAGCCGCTGGCTGTGAACCAGAGGCCGAGACAAGGCTTCAGGGTGGCACATGCGTTTTTGAGGGGTGCTCCTTCGGGAGGGAGCCAGCGTGATCCGAATCCCGGGGCTTGGCCTGATCCACAAGGGGGCGCTGGAGCGTAAATTGCATCAGAGTCGTTTCAGTTTGAGGCAGGGAGGCTGGGCTTTGGTACCTCTGCATCAGTCATTGGCTGTGGGCTGCCCGGGGGAGGCGGGCATACCTTCCCCGGGAGGTCCTCCATCCGCAGAGGTCACTTTTGCAGAGCAGCCACGGCTCACGCAGCAGGGCAGGGGACAGTGCGTTGCCCAGAGAAGGGCTCTGGGCAGGGCAACAGCATCCTCCACTGCCAACCCCTCCGCCTCCTTCGCGCCTTCTTCCCACAGGCGAGCATCGCCTGGACCCGGATGCCTACCTCTTAGATCTGTACCGCGCCAACCCCCACGGCGAGTGGGTCATTAAACAGAGCCCCACCTAAGCCCTGGTCTCTAAGGAGCAGCCTGGGATGTGTCACCCTCGCCCCCCACCGGCTCTGTGCCTGTGTGCCCAGCATGGGAGCAAAACTTTTGAAGGCGAAGGTCTGGGTCTTCCTCCAAGGCATCCTTCTCTGAGATGCCGCTCAGATCTGGAAAAGGACTCGGGGCTCGGGCTGTCACCCCTCCTCATAGCCACGCAGAAGCAGCCCTCACCCCCGTCCAGTCCCCAGCCCTCGGGCGGGTCAGCTCCCACACCAGATTGGCTGCATAACAACGCCACTTGGATCTCCATGTGTATTTGTCCACGATTTCCAAACCCAAGGAAAATGAAAAAAATGCAGCACTTCTATCAAGAGGCAGTTGGGGTTTTCCCCAGGAAAAAAAATGCCTTGAAAGTGGCCCTACAATCAATGTGCGTTGGCGACAGCATCAGAGATGGGTCTAGGAGAGCTCTGTGACCTTGGGCAAGCCCCTTGCCCTCTCTGAGTCCTTTAAAAACGAGGGGGTCAGGCCTTGGGGAAGGGGAGCAAATGCTGTAGCCACGGACAGCCCTGGAAGAACTGAGCAGAAGAAAAATTCCCTCTCATGTTTTAAATGTTGGTTTGTACAATCTTGTCATTTTATAATATGGTATTTAAATTGTTTCAACATTAAAGGCACAAGTTAAAAGCCACCTTTACTCCGTTTAAGTTCTTTTCCCTCCCCAGTCCAGCGCTTGCTGGGTGTCGTCCTTCTAGTGAGTTGACAGGGAGCCTGGTGATGGGAGCACCTTGCTCTGGCCGGTGTGTTCTGGCCACGCCCTGAACCTGGGACCACCACAGTGGCCAGGAAGAGGGCTTGGAACAGGGAGGGATGGAGTGATGACGGCAGCTGCTGCAGGGTGGGGGCGCTGCAGGGGCAGCCTCTCTGGGATCCTCCAGACCACCCCTCTCCTCTCCGAGGGTCCCAGATCTCTACCCCACCCTGGGTCTATCTCCTGAGGCAGGGGAAGCCTCATTTATTTGTTCATCCAACAATGAATTTATTGTGCACTTAAACCTGCCAAGAGCTTAACAAATGTAATCTTCACAGTGATCCAGTGTCTTAGGGTTGGGTTCCCCGAGAGGCAGAACCTGAGGCCAAGATGCGAGTGCAAACAGTGTTCTGGAAAACACAAGGGAGCTGGCATGTTTATTCAGCTCCTGTGAGTCACTGGTTGAGGGCCGCTCCTGAGGAGTGTGGGTGTTGGTCCCCTGGCACTGCCAGCCTGCCTGAGCACGGGCACAGGGGCTGCAGTAGCCGCAGAAAGTCCTCGAGTAAAGAGATACGGGTGCTGTGGATTAGAAGCTGGCCACTGGCCACTGAAACAGCACAGGCTGAAGGGCTATGGGTGGCCGTTCCTAGCCTGCTTCACCCTGTGAGGTGATGATGGCGATCGTGATGGTGATGATGGTGATGGTGATGATAATAATGGTGATGATGGTGGTGATGGTGATGGTGGTGATGGTGATGGTGGTGATGGTGGTGATGGTAATGATGGTGATGGTGGTGATGGTGGTGATGGTGGTGAAGGTGATGATGGTGGTGATGGTGATAGTAGTGATGGTGATGGTGGTGATGGTGGTGATGGTGATGGTGGTGATGGTGGTGATGGTAATGATGGTGATGGTGGTGATGGTGGTGATGGTGGTGAAGGTGGTGATGGTGATAGTAGTGATGGTGATGGTGGTGATGGTGGTGATGGTGATGGTGGTGATGGTGATGGTAGTGATGGTGATGGTGGTGATGGTGATGGTGGTGATAATGGTGATGGTTGTGATGATGGTGATGGTGGTGATGATGGTGGTGATGATGGTGGTGATGATGGTGGTGGTAGTGATGATGATGGTGATGATGGTGATGGTGATGATGATGATGGTGGTAATGATGATGATGATGGTGATGGTAATGATGGTAATGATGATGGTGATGGTGATGATGATGGTGATGATGGTGATGGTGATGGTGATGATGGTGATGATGATGGTGATGGTGATGATGAGGAGGATAGTATGATGATGACGTTGGTGGTAGTGATGATGATGATGATGGTGATGGTGGTGGTGATGATGGTGAGGATGATGGTGCAAAGCCTCAGTAGCTTTGATGCCTTTTAACTGCTCTCCCTTCTTGCCTTTCTATCTATCCTTGATACAGCGGCCACTTTGGGCCTTTTAAAATTTAATTTCAATTCTATTGAAAGCCCTGCTACTGGAAATCTTCCAGAAGGATCCCATTAAACAAAAATCCCAACTGTCTTCCCTGGCCTGTGAAGCCCTAACGTCTCTGACACCACCTCCCCCACACTCCTCCTCATCCTGCACAGCCAGCCACGCGGGCCTCCTTCCGACCGACGCCTCAGTCATCCCAAGCTCATCCTGCTTTGGGCTCTTGCACTGGCTGTTCTCTCTGCCTAGAACGCTCTGTCCCCAGCTGTTCCCACGGCCAGCTCCTTTCCCCTTCAGGACTCAGCTCAGAAGTCCCTTCCTTTGAGAGCTTTGGTCTGGCCGCCCTGTCTGAAGTAGCTTCCTCTCCCACTCTCTCCTTTCATCATCTTAATCAATTTTCTTCCTAGTGTTTGTCACTATCTGAAATTATCATATTGAATTCGTTTTTTATTGTCTGTGTCCCTGACTAGGATGTGGCTGCATGAAGGCAGAGACCCTGTGGGGTCTTCTCACCTTCGTGGATGTGATGGATGTGATGGTCCCAGTAGGTGTTCAATAAAAACTGGTTGGATGAATGAATGAATGTGTCCCTTTGTTTGCTCCAGAGGCTGCTGGCCTCACCACCTGACTTTACTCTGACCTCCCTGGTTTAAAATATGAAAATGAGAAAATGCATCCGAGGTACCTATAGCAAGTGCTCAGCCAGCTCTCTCGTTGTTTTTAATTATTTACAAGAGCCGAGCAGCCTGAAATGGCGACTAATGATATTACCTCCCACAGTCCCCCACTCCTGCACTGGTCCCGTTGCACAACTCACCTGCTCGCTCACAGGGCGAGGATGACAGGACGCCACGGGGTTGGAGGGAGAACCCATTCCCCTGGCAGGAGGAGGGGCAGGCGCCCCGGTGGGTGCCGGGAGCCCGGGCCGGCTGTGCTAACTTTGCACGCAGAGTGGAGGATCCCACTTTAATCACATGTCAGTTTCCCCATTCATCTTCGGTGCTATCTGAGGCTCATCTTCTTCCACCCTGTGGCATCATCATGATTGATGATCCTGCACCAGCCCCACCACCGGGCTAGCACAGCTCCCGGCGGGTGCCCAGCTCCCCCGGGCTCTTTGCAGTCTGGGGCCAGCATGGGCTGGGATCATGTTGTTCCTAAGGAAATCTGTTGTGGACTGAATTGTGCCCCCCCCACATTCATATGCTGAAGCCTCAACCCCAAAGATTACTATATATGGAGATAGGGCCTTTAAGAAGGTAATTAAAGTGAATCGAGGTTATAAGGGTAAAGGGTCCTAATCCGGTAGACTGGTGTCCTTATGACAAGAGGAGGAGACACCAGAGCTGTCTTTCTACATGAGCACAGAGGACAGGCCACAAGAGGACACAACACGGAGGCAGCCGTCGTGAACCAGGAAGAGAACCCTCACTAGAACCAAATTTTCTGGCACCTTGATCTTGGACTTCCAGCCTCCAGAACTGAAAGAGATAATTTCTGTTGTTTAAGGCACCTAATCTGTGGCATTTGTTATGGGAACCTTAAAAAACGAATGCAAGCTCCTTGCTGCCCCCAGTTTCTAAGAGGAAGGAGGATGGGATTTGTAAAGATGTCTTCAAACGGGGGCGTTTTCCTGGACAAGGGGCAGAAATGACCCCCTCAATAGCGGTGGCGTCTCACCCAGCATTCGGGTGAGTGCTTCCCTGGGAGGGGCAGCAGCTAGTGGTGACCACACTGGATTGGACAGCAGGCCCTGGGCCCCAACCCACCTCTCTGGGGCTGCGGCTAACTTGTCCAACCTCTGCACACTCCTGGAAATTCAGGCTGCTGTTTCTAAATCACCAAAGAGGACAGTGAAGATGAAAAGGAAAAGGGAGGCTGGGTGCGTGGCTCATGTCTGTAATCCTAGCACTCTGGGAGGCCAAGGTGGGTGGATTGTTTGAGCTCAGGAGTTCAAGACCAGCCTAAGCAAGAGCGAGACCCCTGTCTCTACTAAAAATAGAAAGAAATTAGCCAAACAACTAAAAATATATAGAAATAATTAGCCAGGCATGGTGGCGCATGCCTGTAGTCCCAGCTACTTGGAAGGCTAAGGCAGGAGGATCACTTGAGCCCAGGAGTTTGAGGTTGCTGTGAGCTAGGCTGATGCCATGGCACTCTAGCCTGGGCGACAGAGCAAGACTCTGTCTCAAAAAAAAAAAAAAAAAGGGAAAAGGGAATCTAACAGTCATTCGACAATTACATCAAGTGTCTACTGTGTGCCCTCACAGGGCTGGCTGAGGCCAGAGTAATGAATAAAACAGGGGCGGCCCCAGCACTCCATGGAGCTCGCAGATCAGCTAGCAAATGAGAGAGCCACTAACTTAGAAAGATTTCACATTGTGATAAAATTCTGCTGAGAAAACAAAACAGAGAGGAGAGAGGGTGCGGGGAATGTGGGTGGAGCTTTCTTTGGAGAGGCAAAGAAGGGTCTTAGATTGGATGCCCCCAGAAGCAGATCCTGAGCCAAGAACTGGAGGCAAGTAGCTTACTTGGGAGGTGACCCCAGGAAGGTCCAGCAGAGGCTGGGGAAGGAGGTGTGGAGGGGAGGCTCCAAGGAAGGCGTGCTAACCCGCAGGTTACAGCTGTGCGCAGCTGGGGCTCCCTGCTGCTGGGATCTCTGGGAAAGTGTAGCGCCCACCTCCCACATGTGCCAGCCAAGGGGTAAGGAAGACAGAGTGCTATCTGCCCACTCCCACCTGGAACTAGTGGAATGAAGGCTACTCCCAGGGGCGTGCACCTCCCACTCGCATTACAGCCCCCTCCCCCC